AAACCGTAGGCTTGTGGGGTCGTCACAAGTGTGTCATCAAGCTATACACAATTAAACTCCGTTTATCACTCAAAAGCTAATGTAACAACTCCAGAATGAGAAAATCCCAATTATACCCAATATTGAATTTCTTAGCTCAAGCGTCTGGTTGGCGACCCCTGGCAACTGTTCTCATCATCGGCCCAGGACACCTGTTTAGTTTTTGTCCACCTCCTTCGGGATTGCATTGTCTCTCCTCCAGCACTGCATGTATGGGTGCTCACTACACAGACCACTGCCTACTGACAAATTGCAATTAGTCCTGGAATGCGTGTATCATTCGGTACACGCAGGCATAGGGAGGGAGCCGAGCGGACAGAACGCTGGACTTGTGATCCTGTGGTCCTGGGTTCGATCCCAGGCGCCGGCGAGAAACAATGGGCAGAGTTTCTTTCACCTTATGCCCCTGTTACCTAGCAGTAAAATAGGTACCTTGGTGTTAGTCAGCTGTCACGGGCTGCTTCCTGGGAGTGGAGGCCTGGTCGAGGACCGGGCAACGGGGACACTAAAAAAAACCCGAAATCATCTCAAGATAACCATGCGCTCTGGACTTTAGTTTACAGGCCCCACTTCACATGTGGCCCCTTGAAATATAGTTATCCTCAAAACCAACTTATTCATTATAGGCCAGCCCTCACCTGGCTGCCAGGGCATCAAACACTGGCCCCCATGTGGTGCTTTAACGGGCCAATCCTGACATGGTCACCCGGAACTCTTAAACTTCTCTTTGCACCTCAATTCCTGCTACACTAAATAGTGTAGCAGGAAATATTGGACCAACCTCTTGTTGCCTGGGACAACTTCTGTGGTCCCTTCATCAATGTTCTCTTGAAGTTGTTACAGGGCCCGTCCTTACCTTCAGGGTCCCTATACACCAAGCCGTAAATGCAGGGAATTTATCATAAATTATGGCAACACTGTATGTGAGTGCCCTGTTATCAATGATTTCAAACCAAATGGCATGAGATACCTTGAACTCTGTAATTAGTTCATACACTCACGGATATTGGAAGATATTCTTGTGCTCTACTCAATGATGTTAGTACAGAGTATAGACTAGACAGAAGAGCGCATCCGATTCCTCGACTGTCGTTACCTCTCAATCCATGAGGCTAGCATGTCATGCTTTTCCGTATTCCATATATAACTAACTTGTGATGATGGTGTTTTTAAATAACCTCGTAGCTAGTTAGTACTCTGTAATCCATCACATAGAATACGGTAGCTGCACATTGCTCAGTGAACGTCAGCTTGTTAGTAAAAACACAAAAAGGAACCATGCGGTAAGCGGTGAGCGCCAAGAGCGGCGCCAGTAGTCGTGTCCTGCACCAGCGGTCAACACCGGTCACGCGGCGCTCTAAATTACACCTCAACACCTCAACAGTTTCCTCAAACCAGACCCTGGATATAGTTTTTGACTAATAGGAATGTTTTATTTGATTGAGTGTTTATGCGGGCGTGAAAGACTGTCAAATATGCAGCTCTGAGCGTCGGTGGCGGCAGCGACGCCGACAACTGCATCGAAACAGGTAAATAACTCTTATTAGATAATCTGAGGTGTTTCTGTGCACGAGTTTACTGTTTCTTGGTGTTGTACGGCACTCTTCCGGCACGGGAGGGGGGGGGGGGGCTGACAGGAGGAAGGGGGGGGGGGGGGAGGCTGACAGGAGGAAGGGGGGGGGGAGGCGGAGAGGAGGGGGGGGGGGCTGACGCGGAGAGCAGGGGTCTGGGGGGGGGGAGGGGAGGGGGGCCTGAGGCTGAATGGGGGGAGGAGGGGCCTGAGGCTGAGTTGAGGGAGGGGCCTGGGGCTGAATGGGGAGGGGCCTGGGGCTGAATGGGAAGGGGGAGGGGCCTGGGGCTGAATGGGAAGGGGGGGCCTGGGGCTGAATGCGAAGGGGGGGCCTGGGGCTGAATGGGAAGGGGGAGGGGCCTGGGGCTGAATGGGAAGGGGGGGCCTGGGGCTGAATGCGGGGGGGCCTGGGGCTGAATGGGAAGGGGGAGGGGCCTGGGGCTGAATGGGAAGGGGGGGCCTGGGGCTGAATGCGAAGGGGGGGCCTGGGGCTGAATGGGAAGGGGGGGGGCCTGGGGCTGAATGGGAAGGGGGAGGGGCCTGGGGCTGAATGGGGGGGGGAGGGGCCTGAGGCTGAATGGGGAGGGGGAGGGGCCTGGGGCTGAGTGGGGGGGGAGGAGGGTCCTGAGGCTGAGTTGGGGGAGGATCAGGGGCCTGAGGCTGAATGGGGAGGAGGAGGGGCCTGGGGCTGAGTTGGGAGGAGGAGGGGCCTGAGGCTGAGTTGGGGAGGAGGAGGGGCCTGAGGCTGAATGGGGAGGGGGAGGGGTCTGGGGCTGAATGGGGAGGGGGTCTGGGGCTGAATGGGGAGGGGGAGGGGTCTGGGGCTGAATGGGGAGGGGGAGGGGCCTGGGGCTGAATGGGGAGGGGGAGGGGCCTGGGGCTGAATGGGGAGGGGGAGGGGCCTGGGGCTGAATGGGGAGGGGGAGGGGCCTGGGGCTGAATGGGGGGAGGGGTGCCTGACGCTGACGGGGGTGGTAGCCTGTGGCTGGAGATCTTACCTTGCATTGGTTCCGGGGGCCGTGGTCCCCGCGGCCCGGTCTCTGACCAGGCCTCCTGGTTGGTCTGGTCAACTAGACTGTTGGACGCGGCTGCTCGCAGCCTGACGTATGAGTCACAGCCTGGTTGATCAATTATCCTTTGGAGGTGTTTGAGTTCTCTCTTAAACACTGTGCGGGGTCGGCCAGTTATGCCCCTTATGTGTAGCGTGTTGAACAGTCTCGGGCCTCTGATGTTGATAGTTCTCTCTCAGATTATCTATTGCACCACTGCTTTTCAACGGGGGTATTCTGCACATCCTGCCATGCCTTCTGGTCTCATGTGATGTTTTTTTTCTATGTGCAGTTATGGGAACAACCTTTCTAATATTTTCCATGTGTAAGTTTATTATGTATCTCTCCCGCCTGCACACTAGAGAATACAGATTTAGGCATTTTAGTAAGTTCCAGTAATTTAGATGGTTTATTGAGTAGATTCTAGCAGTAAAGGATCTCTGCACGCTCTCCAGGTCAGTAATTTCTTTTGCTTTGAAAAGGCTGTTATTGTGCAAAAGTATTCCACTCTAGAGAGCACTGGCGTCTAGAAGAGTATCAACATTGGCATGGCATCTTTTGTTTGAAAGGTTCTTGTTATCCAACATGTAATTTTTCTTGCAGTTGTGACTGCTACTTTATTGTGTTGTTTTAAGGTAAGTAAGTCTTCTGCATGATTATACCCCAAATCCTTTACATTGATTTAACGTTCTGTGTATGATTTAACTGCGTTTTTTTCGTGGTTTCTGTTTTTATATTTTAATTTAGAAGTAGATTATTATGATTTATAAGGCTAAGGGAGAATGTTAGGCTGCTGTAAAACGGGGGAGACTTGGAGGTTATAAGTGGAAGTGAGACTGAGTAGTCACGGAGCAACCCGTAAAGTGGCCAAATTTGGACGTAATTTGTGAAATCCACTCACAAAAGTGTACTGTTGTTTGAGTCGTCTGGCTTACTCGGCAAGCTTAGAAAAGGGGGGGGGGGCAGGAAAAAAATCTCAAATTTATTTTCAATTTTTTTTTATTTTCCGACCTACGGACAAACGGCCAAAAGTGTTCTTTTGTAGGTACAGTCACGGAGAGCTGGATGAAACACTGCGCATATAATCCCAGTGATTCACGTTTTATAGAAGCCTCACATTTAAAATGTGCCGAATTTAACGTAACTTTTTACCTCGCCGATTGATATTTGTTTTTATATTTAATTAGTGAAAGCGTTATTGACTATGTACACCTGAGTGAGATAAGACCCATAGGTGCAGCCCGCAGTAGGTTTGGCCGTAGCGCCTGCACCACTTACTAGCCTAATGCGAAGGCTGACCACAGTGTGAATGATCCTGGTGTACTTGAGGCTGTGGGCCAGTGTTCCCTATGAGAAAAGAGTCGACGCGGCACCGCTCTCCTCTAGGCGTGTATTATTTTATATTTAAATTAAATGTGTTTTGTGCACAAAGCAGCATGATAAATTCTGGGAAGCTTTGTCTCAAGCCAGGCGCTGAAGGAAACAGATTTTTCAACAAGTGGTTTTACCAACTGGTTATCTCGGCTAGTGTAGTGGAAGGCTATTGAAGTCTCCCATTCAGCGTCACCGTTATTGGCGGCTGCTGCTGAGGGCTTCACCGTCGTTGTTGGCGGCTGCTGTTGAGGGCTTCACCGTCGTTGTTGGCGGCTGCTGTTGAAGGCTTCACCGTCGTTGTTGGCGGCTGCTGTTGAGGGCTTCACCGTCGTTGTTGGCGGCTGCTGTTGAGGGCTTCACCGTCGTTGTTGGCGGCTGCTGCTGAGGGCTTCACCGTCGTTGTTGGCGGCTGCTGCTGAGGGCTTCACCGTCGTTGTTGGCGGCTGCTGCTGAGGGCTTCACCGTCGTTGTTGGCGGCTGCTGCTGAGGGCTTCACCGTCGTTGTTGGCGGCTGCTGCTGAGGGCTTCACCGTCGTTGTTGGCGGCTGCTGCTGAGGGCTTCACCGTCGTTGTTGGCGGCTGCTGTTGAGGGCTTCACCGTCGTTGTTGGCGGCTGCTGTTGAGGGCTTCACCGTCGTTGTTGGCGGCTGCTGTTGAGAGCTTCACCGTCGTTGTTGGCGGCTGCTGTTGAGGGCTTCACCGTCGTTGTTGGCGGCTGCTGTTGAGGGCTTCACCGTCGTTGTTGGCGGCTGCTGTTGAGGGCTTCACCGTCGTTGTTGGCGGCTGCTGCTGAGGGCTTCACCGTCGTTGTTGGCGGCTGCTGCTGAGGGCTTCACCGTCGTTGTTGGCGGCTGCTGCTGAGGGCTTCACCGTCGTTGTTGGCGGCTGCTGCTGAGGGTTTCACCGTCGTTGTTGGCGGCTGCTGTTGAGGGCTTCACCGTCGTTGTTGGCGGCTGCTGTTGAGGGCTTCACCGTCGTTGTTGGCGGCTGCTGCTGAGGGCTTCACCGTCGTTGTTGGCGGCTGCTGTTGAGGGCTTCACCGTCGTTGTTGGCGGCTGCTGCTGCGGGGCTTCACCGTCGTTGTTGGCGGCTGCTGTTGAGGGCTTCACCGTCGTTGTTGGCGGCTGCTGGAGCCTTGCCTTCAACTCGGGAGCTTCTGGGGGCTGCGTGTAAGGGAGGAAGTCTCCGTATACTCACCTACTTGTGTTTGTGGGGGTTGAGCTTCGGCTCTTTGGTCCCGCCTCTCAACCGTCAATCAACTGGTTTGTGTTGTGTGCGCGTGCGTGAGTGCGTGCGTCTATCAGTCTACTGAGGAGTGAGGTCTAATTCCCGATGCTCTGCCTACTATCCTTGTAATAATACTCTTTGCGTTATAATTTAATTGTGGATATAAGGGACTTCCACAGCTAGTTCCTGCAATGCATTGTGCTTGTTGACCACACGTGCTAAGTCCGAGTTTATCCTGTCATTCCTACGGCTCATTTGTGTTTCCAGGTTCCACTTGTGTCCCCTTGTTTTACATTATCTTAATTTGAAGAGCTTGGCCTTGTCCCCTTGGCTATTCCCAGTAGTATCTTCTATGTTGTGATCATATCCCGTCTGTGTCTTGGGTTCCCGTCACATCTAGGGTTGTGAAGTTTTAGTCCATTAGCCAATCCTCATAGCTTAAGCCTCGTAGCTCTGGCACCAGTCTTGTTGCAAACCTCTGTACTTTCTCAATTTTGTATTTATGCTTCACATGGTGCGGATTATATGCCGGTGCTTTTACTGTGTGTTAGAGAGGGAGAGGGAGAGAGAGAGAGGGGGAGAGAGAGAGGGAGAGAGAGAGAATGAGAGTGTGAGAGAGAGAATGAGAGTGAGTGTGAGAGAGAATGAGAGTGAGTGTGAGAGAGAATGAGAGTGTGAGAGAGAGTGAGTGAGAGTGTGAGAGAGAGTGAGTGGGAGTGTGAGAGTGAGTGTGAGAGAGAGAGTGAGTGTGAGTGTGAGAGAGAGAGTGAGTGTGAGAGAGAGAGTGAGTGTGAGTGTGAGAGAGAGTGAGAGTGAGAGAGAGTGAGAGTGAGTGTGAGAGAGAGTGAGTGTGAGTGTGAGAGAGTGAGTGTGAGAGAGTGAGAGTGAGTGTGAGAAAGAGTGAGAGTGAGTATGAGAGTGAGAGTGTGAGAGAGAGTGTGTGAGTGTGAGAGAGAGTGTGTGAGAGAGAGTGTGTGAGTGTGAGAGAGAGTGTGTGAGAGAGAGTGTGTGAGTGTGAGAGAGAGTGTGTGAGTGTGAGAGAGAGTGTGTGAGTGTGAGAGAGTGTGTGAGTGTGAGAGAGTGTGTGAGTGAGAGAGAGTGTGTGAGTGTGAGAGAGTGTGTGAGTGTGAGAGAGTGAGTGTGAGTGTGAGAGAGAGAGTATGAGAGAGAGGGAGAGGAAGAATCAGAGTGTGTGAGGGGGAGAGAGAGAATCAGAGAGACAATTCAAGCGAGGGTCGTGCCTTCCTTGGTGACGTCTGCTTTAGGAAATGTAGGGCCGGATCTTGAGTGTCTCTCTGACTTTTCTCTTTCTTTTCCTCCCTCTATTTTTTGCCTCTCCTCATCCTCCCCCGTTCTCTCCACCCTCATTTTGTTTCCTGGGTGCTCCCCGCAGCCAGTGTCTCAGGCACAAGGGAAGTGTCAGCCTGTACCCCTCAAGGAGGAGACGGTCTTCACTAACGTCTTGGCAGTGTTCATTTATATTACTGCTGTAAGTGGCAATCCCTTTACTCTAAGATGTTTGTTATTCTTCCAGCTTTGTTCCTAGCTAGTTCTTCAGGTTATTGTACACTCGTTGACTCTCTCGTTCTTTCTCTGGTTCATCATTCTCTCTCTCACACACTCACTCTCTCTCTCACACATTCATACTCACTTTTTTTAAGCTCTCACGTTTTGTAAACTAAGACTAGTTTCATAAGGACTGTTGTCACGACCCTTGAGACTAAATACTGTTCTTCTCCCCACAGTGTAAAGAACAAATAAAAATCTGCCATGCCAATAGGTGTCTAGGGGTATAATTAATCACTGTATAAAAACGGGAGAACAATATATTTTGCTAAGGGTGACAACTTAACAACCATCAAATAAATAGTAGCCAGAAATATTTATCAGCATGTAATACTATAGAATGCAAGTAATTATTTGAGACCTGAGCACTATCACCAGAATATGGAGTAAGCCATAAATACACTAAAATCGTCTATCCAGATAAATTAATATTTATATGGGCTTAAAATATAAAAAACCAAGAACTTAGCTTAAACACAACTGCACTCGACCGCAGCCGCCACTCTACTGCCCAGGACGTGGTCCGCAGGCCCAACGTCGACTAACCGTCTACCCAAACACCAATTAACGTTTGCATGAACATTGTGAACATTCTATTTACAAAGGTCAGCCCTAAACTCCAACATTATTAACTAAGAGTTGTAATTACCGGTCTCACATTCCTTGAAATATTACGGCTACCAAATATGGGAATAAATAAATGTAAAACTATAGGCAATTGATTTGCCAACAATCGCCCTGGACATTCCCAAATATTGTCAACCGCCCACACGGCTAATTTCACGTGACATCCACCACCAAAACAAACCTTACACACACTACCCAGCTATCTATGTTATATATATATAATGTATATATATCTATATACACAAATCTTATACAACTGACAGCAATATTTACGTAGAGAAAACAATAACATAATACGAGGTTCGGGAGAATTGGCAGAATCGTAATAAGATTCGTGACAACTGTCAAATGACGTACTTAATGAAACTGCAAGCTAGAGCTGTTATCGTACCTGAACTCAGTTGAAAGCTACGTCTCGAGACCAATTTATTTCATGAGCCTAATATAATCATAATTAGGAATAAACTTTATTCATTAACAACATTAGGTGACAATCATATAAGAAACAGGATGAGCCCAAAGGTAGCTGTGTGCCAGAGCCTTCAGGTGCTCAGTTGACCACATGAAGGCTCTGTTGATACGTGGGAGTCAGTTGACTCCTACTTATCAACCTGCGAATTAGCGAATTGAGTTGAGCGAATTAGGTCCAGATAGCCAGTCAGCCTTGGAATGAATGATCGCTGATGGAGTGATGTTCTTGAGAAAGGCTTTAGAATGGCACTTCCAGCATAAGACAATTGAAGGTTGAGAGACCCTAATGTTATGGGTGCCAACTACTGGTTGTCCACGGAGTTTGTCCATTTATGGAACTTTGAGAATGTTGGCCTTGTACATAAGAGTAAGTCTATCAGCATCACGACGGTGTTGCAGGCTCTGATGTTCAGGCCATTCCCACCAGACTTGGCCCCACTTCCCCTCCTAGTTACCTGCCGTCGCCTGAGATGTATCGCCTATTTTCTTGTTCTGATGAAATTCGTGTCGTAATTTGTCGCGGGAAATGTTATTTCTCGGTATCTTTCGTAAGGCATCTTATGCCGTCAAAAAAGTATGGTTCAATAAATCAGTCAAAGAACAAGAGACTGATGATAGCAGAGACAGGCGCCTCCCGGCTCCGGGGCACCGAATATAACACCAAAGTTTTATGGGCAAGAGCGTCGGACGGCGTGAATAACCTTCGACCTTGAAGCTTGGATTGGGTTATTGACTTTTGTCCTCTAACCTCTTACCGCGTAACCTTGATCCGTATCCTTGGCTTTCGTAAAAAAGCCATTTTACCATTTACCTTTGAGACTTCAGGTGTGAACTTGACCAATAAAGCCTTGACCTTGACCTATAAAACCTATAGCCATGAAACACGGGCGACCATACTGCGTCTTGACGTCTGAACGCTGGCCACCTTCGACACGTCACTCTAAGAAAGAACTTCCTCTGAGACTTGAGATAAAAGTCGAAAGTGTCACTATACAAATTTGGCGCTGCCCGTGAGGTCTAGTATAAAATATTTGATTTTTAATGTCCAATTTGACATAGGAATATTAAGCTTGCACCTGCTCCTCCGCGCGTGTCTGAGTCACCAGCAGGTAAGAATACTACCAACCTAGTTAGATAAACACGTGTTAGAGTGATAGTCGCAAATCATAAACACAGCGATTGGTCTTTGGTTAACAAGCTAACCTTGTGTATCTAATGTGAATAACATTAGCAAGTTGTTAGGTAGAGTCCAGGGGCCAGATTCACGAAAGCACTTACGCAAGCACTTACGAACGTGTACATCTTTCCTCAATCTTTGACCGCTTTGGTTACATTTATTGAACAGTTTACAAGCATGAAAACTTCCCATTCAACTGTTGTTATTGTTATAAACAGCCTCCTGGTGCTTCGGAGCTCATTAACTGTTTAATAATTGTAAACAAAGCCGCCAAAGATTGAGAAAAGACGTACAGGTTCGTAGGTGTTTGCGTAAGTGCTTTCGTGAATCTGGCCCCAGCACTCGTCAGGCGACATAGAGCATGCTCGAGTTTCACCTTAACCAACATCTTAAGTCTATCGTATTCCTACTTGTTATCTTGATATAAATCAGCTTGTTTGTAGAGCATCTGTTGGAGTTATAAACGCTGTATGGTTTACCGGAAGGTAACGTAATGCAAAAAATTCACACTCGATATATAGATAATAGCGAAGTTATCATTGAGAGCTGATAAATGTCAGTATACATTTTGATAGACTCAATAACGGATTTGTAGATTAGAAGAAAAATCGAGGACGAGGTAAAATATTATGCAGTGATGGAGCCAGAGATAACGTCAGGAACCTGTCATTATTTTGTGGTGGCGTGTTGTAACCGGCAGACCCTACCACACACACACACACACACACACACACACACACACACACACACGCACACACGCACACACGCACACGCACACACGCACACGCACACGCACACGCACACGCACACACACACGTACACACACACACACACACACACACACACAAAGGAACCACCCCCAAATTCTACCCAACAGACACCCAACCTGCCCCATCCCCTGTCAGCCCCCCACTAAGTACCCACCTAGGGCACCCCCCCCCCACCCACCCCCCTCCCCCCACTCACCCCCCTTCTTCCCCTCACCCCTCTCCCCAGGACCTCCCTTCCCCCCCATCCCCCATGCCCTCCCTTCTCCCACATGCCTTCCCGTCTCTCCCACCCCCATGCCCTCCCTTCTCCCCCTCCCCCCTAAGC